AGTGCCCCGCCGGGACACCCCACTCGTGATCTCTGGCTCAGGCTGATCAGTGCGGACCCCAAGCCCATGGGGACATCGGAGGGACATCAGAACCTATGATGGGGAGAGGTTTAGGGGTGCGGGGTGGGATGCAGGGGGATGGTCCTCATTGGACTGTCTCTGAGCACCTGGGGATTGGTGTAATTTCTCCCTGGTGGGTGTCACCGCCTGTTGCTGTCCCCATCCCAGGACATCCAGCTCAGCTCCCTGCAGCACCTCAACTTCACCATCATGGAGACGCAATGCCCAGTGTGCTCGAGAATCCACCCCCATGCCTGCAAGTTTAAGGAGGACGGGGTGAGGGACAAGGGGGGCTCTTGGGGGGGGTTACACCTCCTGTGTAATTTCTCCCTGGTGGGTGTCACCGCCTGTTGCTGTCCCCATCCCAGGACATCCAGCTCAGCTCCCTGCAGCACCTCAACTTCACCATCATGGAGACGCAATGCCCAGTGTGCTCGAGAATCCACCCCCATGCCTGCAAGTTTAAGGAGGACGGGGTGAGGGACAAGGGGGGCTCTTGGGGGGGGTTACACCTCCTGTGGGGTCCCCAGCGTGGGGCCATTCCCCCCTGCATGTCCCTGCACTCAGCCCCTGCTCTCCACAGCTCGTCAAGGACTGCTCCGCACCCGTGCCCCAGCGTGGCAGGTGCAGGTCCGTGCTTGGTGTCACCTGCATAGACTCCACCACGGACGTGAGTTGGGGGTCCCAGCACGGGAGGGACATGCTGCAGGGCCTGGAGGGGGGCTTGGGGGGTCCCCCCACCCTGTGCCACCTCCTCTCCCCACAGCCTATCAGGGTAAAGTGCTTCTGGCCACTGCTGGTTACAGCCATCAAGATGGTGGCTGCTGGTGTTGGCATCTTCAAGGCCTTCAATGGATGAGACCCCCTCAAGAGGCTGCCGTCTGCCCTCCTCCCACCTTGGTGTCCCCCTGACCCAAATAAAGCTGCTTCCCAGCCCTATTGTGCCTTTCCCTGCTGCTCGGGACTGGAGTCTGGGTATGTGGGGACAGGATGGGGGGTGATGCTGATGGAGGAGGGTCCTGGGGTGGGGAGCAGAGCCAGCCCCCCCCAGATGGGCCTGGCACATCCAAGCCCCATGGGCATTGCCAGCTCCCTGGGGCCTCATCCTGGCACTGCCCTTATGTGGGGTCCTGCCCCCGTGGGACTGAGACAACACCCCAAGAGCAAAGGGTCCCCCGGGAGCTTGTGCCAGCTGTGGGGTCCCAATGGGGTGCATGTGGGGCACAAACCCAAGGGACCATTGGCCCATTGTGGGTTGGGGGGAACAGGAGGGTACATCTCCAGGGGCCCCTGGAGCCAGGGCTGCAGCCATGACCATGGTCTGGCCACTTTCGGGGTGCAGGGGTCTCCGTGTCGCAATGTCCTCATCCCAAATTGCCTGTGACAGCCCTGATGGCACAGCTGAGGCCAGTGCATGTCCCCCCCAGGCAGCGGACAGTCACAGGGGACCCCTTGGGAGCTGAATTCCCCCATGGCCCTTCTCTTACATCTCCCTGGGTAGCCCATGGCCCTGGTGCCTCCCCCACCACCATCACCATCATTCCAGGGGGACAAACCACCGTGAGGACAATGATGCCGTGGGGGTGATGGGGCGTGGGATGGGAGTAGCGCCTTTTTGGGGAGGGGGGTGCCCTGGGGGCTCCCTGGGGCAAAACTGGGCACTATCCCCAGTGTCAACCGATGTCCCTTCAGGGGTCATCAGGTCCAAGCTCTTGATCCCAAAGATGGAAACATCAGGGGGTGTAGGTCTGCCCACAGGGACAATGTGGGGAGCGGAGCTGCTTCCCCGCGTGTCTCAGTTTCCCCCCCTTGCACCCCAGGAGGCAGCCAGGAGCCGGCTCACACACACGGGCCGCGAACAGCCCCTTTATTGGTTCAGCCCACAGTGACGGACACCCCGGCATTGGCCCAGATCTTGACCCTGGGCCGATAGTGCCGGATCTTGCCCAGGAAGCGCCCGAACCGGCCACGCTCGACCAGAACTGGCTGCCAGAGGGAAAATGGGGTCATTGGTATGAGGGGGATGCTCCGGACCCTGCATCCCACCTGGGAACCCCACACCTTGGACACTGCATCCAGGAGCCCACACTAAGGACCCCACACTGGGGACTCCACAGCCCAGAGCCCACAGCCAGGATCCCTGCACCGAGTTCCCCACACCCGGTCCCTGCTCCCACTACCCTTGCAGGGCCGTGGACCCAGCACCCTGCACCCAGGACCCTGTGCCCATCACCCCATGGGTGCCCCAGGACCCTCCATCCCATCCTCCACTGCTTGCGGGCTGGAGTCATCCTGGTGAGATGGAGATGTCGGGGTGTCCCTTCTGGGGACGGCAGACCCCAAGATGTGTGGAGGGAGGGAGGAAGGACACTGACACCCGTGGGTGCTCCCACCCACTGTCAGTGGGTGCTGCCACCCAACTCACGTTGGAGGAGGCATCATTGCAGCGCAGGTCGATCTCAGGGAAGCTCTGCAGGAACTGCACTGTCCCTGAGCACTCCTTGATGACCTGGGGGGGAAAACATGACACCCAGTGAAGCCCGGTGAGGACACCCTGTGTGTCCTTCCCCCATCCCTATCCTCATCCTCACCCCATTCTCCTTGAAGTCACAGTCTTCAGGGTTCACCCGGGTGCTTGGGCTGCACTCCGTCTCCATCATGCTGAAGTTGAGTACCCGCAGCGTGGTCAGCTCGAGGCCCTGTGGGGACACAAGTGTGTGTCACTAAATAGTGGGGGATCACGAGTGGGGTGTCCCGGCGGGGCACT